CCCCCTGAGCTCAGACTGGCAGCCGACCCCCAGCCACGGCTGACTAAGCCCTCTTCACAAACTTCTCAGCCGCGGCCCCAACCTCGAAGCGCAGCCCCGCCCCGTGTGCATGCCATGGTGGGTGCTTGCTGTACAACTGCTCTGTCGGTGACTCCTCCTCCCTCCCCCCCCCCCCAATGCCCAAAGCCACTCTTGGCTCTCTTGGGAGTGACCACATATGTCTCCCTCACAACAGCCGTTAAAATTACCCTATAGACTTTTCAGTGTATATGGCTCTTACGTACATTCCCGTAGGAGGACCGTCTGCTGACAGCACAGGGTATATAAAACAGAAGAGTCCGGGCACAAATAAAAAAACGATCGCAAACCCTGTCAGCAGTTCACCTTCGCTTCGGGTACGTACGTAAGAGCTACATACACTGAAAAAGGCTCCTGTCGACACACGAGTCACGACGCGATCGACGTCGGATACCAGGGAGCAGTCAAACAGGCGCTCGACGTCGCCGCGGCGGCGCTCGCTGAATTCAGCGGTGGTCCTGCCGGGAGCAGGGCCTGGCTGACTCTCGCGCTCGTGTAACTGGTCTCAGGGACCGAGCGTCGGAGACGAGAGTATCTTCAGCTGTTGGTCCTGCCGGGAGCAGAACCCAGCTGGCTCGTACTCGTGTTCCTGCGGGGACCGGGTGCGAGTTGATACTTTCAAACGTCCGGATGGACAGTGTCAACCGTATTCGTGTTACTGCCGGGAGCAGCGGCCGGGTACGGGCGACATACATTCAGTGGGCCAGACAAGAGGTTGAGGCATCCCCGCCTTTGATTCCAGGGCGGTCGAGCAGCGGCCTGCAGGTGGCGGGCTGCTGCCGACCGACCCTAGGCTCCCGTTCAGCTTTCTTCCGCGTGTCGCATGGCCGTGGATGGAGGTATGGGCGAGGGTCGACCTCACTCGCCGCCGTTAATTACGGCAGACGCGGTCGGCCCCGTCTCGACGCCCTCAAGGGCGGGGGACGGGCCACGACATGCCGCCCTCCGAGTAGTTATGGAGGTATGTGGCGCCGTCAACATGCTCCCGAGTAAGTCGGTGTGGCTGGGAGCGCCCTGCACGACTACCCGTCCTAAATGGGGATCGTGGTCTTCGTGTGGGGCAACAGGCGAGTGCGGCGCGCTCCACGGTCAATCTCCGACCCTTCGACCCGCGTGGCGTAGGGTCTGAGAGACGGCCGCCGAGGATGTCGGGCGGGTTCGGTTGCGGTCGGATGGACCTGTCACTGATGACACCGACTCGACTGGGGCGTTGCCGGAGGCGATGGCGGGAGGGCACTCGATGGGCCCGCCATCGACCACTGATAGGAGATTGGCGCGTGGGCCATGGTTGTTGGGCGCGTGGGCCGAGGTGGTTGGCGCGTGGGCCAAGGGTGGACGAGGATGGCCAAGGCTGGCCGAGATAGGCCGAGGTTGGCCGAGATTGGCCGAGGTCTGCCGAGGTTGGCCGGAGTTGGCCGAGATTTACCGAGATTGGCCGAGATTGGCCGAGATTGGCCGAGGTGTCCCAAGATCGGCCGAGGCTGGCCAGAGATCCGCCGAGAGCGTCCCTCACTCGCCTTTCTGGGTAGGGACTTTGAGTAGATGCTAGGGCCGAACTGAGGCGCCCGTGGGGACCCCGCAATTCCCTTCCCCCCTCGGAGGGGGCCGGACGGAGGCGTACCCCGTGGGCCCCGCTCTTTCCTTCGCATAGCGGCCACTCTTCGGATCGCTGGTCGAGCGACCCGGGGGATGCCCCGCGCGCCTGACCCAGGCGCGAAAACGAATCTGCGAGGCGAGGCCGCTCACGCGGCCCGATGGGGAGGAACGGGGCGAGCCCCCTCCAACCCACCCGCGCTAGGTCTCGGGTTTGACGCAGGGGTCACTCCCGGTTGTTTGTTTTTGCACTCCCGCGAAACTCGTGAACTAGCCGGGGCAGTCGGAGAAGGGGCAACTCCGTGCACTGACGGTCGGCCGCCAGAAAACACGCCTCCGTGGCTCGGGTTACACCACTCCTCGCTACCCAACGCGGCCAAAGGATATCCACCTCGAGAACCTCGAGAGATAAAAAGAAAGAAATCCGAGTGTCTCCCCCGCGCCCCCCTTCCCCCCCCTCCTTAGCTCGCATGCTCACCTCTTTGCCCCCTTCCTCCACCACGCGCCCATCAGCGTGGCGCGTCGCCGCCGCGCTGCTTGCTGCGACAGGTGCTGCCGTGCTGTTCGCCTCGGCCAGCCGCGACGCGAACTTTCTGCGGCATTACAATGAGGCCGACGCGAGCTCGAGGCTTGCTTCGATGCTCGCTATGATGCGCGCTCCCTCCACCGCCTCGTCGTCGCCACATTATGCCTACACCGAACGGGAGCGCCCACCGCCGCCGCCTTCGCCTTTGCCACCTCCGCCGCCCTCGCCGCCGCCGCCGCTGCCGCCGCCGCCGTCGCCACTGCCGCCGCCGCCACCGCCGCTGCCGCTGACGGCGTCACCGATGCCGCCGACGGCGTCGCCAGCGGAGGACCGGTTTGGTTTCGACGCCGAGAAGGCGGATGGCGCGGAGAAGGCGGCCTGCGCCGAGGTGATGTGTATGATCTACTGCGAGCACGGCTTCCGCCAAGGCGAGGACGGCTGCCCGATGTGTGAGTGTGAAGTCGGCGGAGACCTCGCCAGCCAGTCGGGGCTGTTGGGCGATCTGTCGCCGGGGGAGGAGGATGGCGGTCTCTCCGAGAGCGGCGGCTGGGAGATGCCAGGCCTCGCGGGGACCGCCGGTGTCATCTCCCTCCTCCGCGGCGCTGGACTGACCTCGGAGGAGGGCGCGGCCCCTGGCGTGCCAGTGGAGAGGGATGCGCCGGAGAGGCCGCGCGTGCACCCGCGGTACGCCCCGGCCAAAGCCGCCGGGGAGGAGGCGGCGGCGGGCGAGGCGGCGGCGGATGACACCGCGCAAGCCTTTGCGGCGCGGCACGGCCTGAGCGCGGCCGCTCTGACGGAGCTTGAGGAGCTGCTCGGGTCGCGGTGCAAGGAGCCGCCCTCGCCTACGTGGCCGAGCTGGCCTTAGACATTCGGCCTGTCGGGGGCCATGCGAGCGAGCCCAAGACCGCATCACTAGCTGCGTGCGGCGACGCGTACTGTTTTCGCATTGACCATCGTGCAGTGACAAGTGTGTGTAAGTGTAACGGCTCTGTCCGTCATGTTACTGTATCAGTTCCCTCCCCAGGTCAGACGGACGCGTGGGGACGGTCCGTACTGGACGGCTGCCAGCGCTTACTGCTATAAGGCTTACTCTGCCAAAAAACTCTGAACAGGGGTGTATTCAGTATTTTCTTATCGCGGCATATGTCGGGGCGCGGCAAAAGGTAAGGCGAGGTAAGCGTGCACACTGGGGCCCTGCGGTCACGTGGCTTCGTCCTCAGCAGTATCAAGACTGCTCTATTCACACCCTTTTTGGTTTGAAGCCACTTGGTGGGGATGCTTGTTTACACCCAACCGACGAGTCGCTGTGGGCCCTCTGTTTTCGCTCTGACCTGAGCCGGAGCCAGCACGCGGCAGGACAAGGGGCTTTACTGAACCCGATGTTGATGGTCCGGTTCTAACAGGGCTTGACACCTGGGGCGAGCGGTCGTCGCAACTTCCTGGGTTCGAGTGCAAACGCCTCTCGCTGTGCGTATGGGCAAATTTGCGCGCAACGGGCTGGTGAAGCGTCGAAATGGGCCACTTCGATCATGAACCGCTCGCGCACATGGAGGTACAAGGCCTCGTCCGTTTGATCGATGCAGCCGCCAAAGGGCACTCCTTGAGCTAGTCCTTGCGTAAATTTATCGAACAACGTTTTCGTCACGTTCGTCGGCCGCGAATTCAAAAACTCGACAGGCAAGCAAGGCGTGCCGAACTTGAGGTGGAAGAGGCAAACCGAGAGGGGGTAGGCGTCGGAGAGGCCGATGAAAGCGAAGCCACGGAGGCGCGAGAGTGCGAGGGTGAGGTTGGGCCTCGGGGGATGACAGAGACCGAAGCGACTTGGCACTGTGCAGTGCAGGCCATGCTCACCCCCCTGCAGCTGAAGTGTCATGCCCGCCTTGGCACGTCGTGCGTAGCTGGAGCACTGCGCGTGCTCGACGTCGACGTCGGAGATACTGGCATCGTCGGAGACACCAACATACGCCGGCTGCTGGATCGGCTCCCGCCCTCTGTGAGCCTCCGACCTGTGCGAGACAACGAGTGGCGCGGCTTCTCTCGCACAGCAGCCGCCCTGCGGTGGTCAGAGGACTGGTACGTGGACCGCATCTCGGCCTGAAGAGGAGGAAAACGCTTCTCTGAGCGAGGTTTGGTGCTCTCAGGAGCGCTCTGCCAACGCGTGGTCGGCAGGGGCCGGCGGGGCAGGCCCGCGGCGAGCGCTTCGCCTGCGGCGCGCGTCTCTGGCCACCAGGGAGGGTCTGGAGGGCGATTTTTGGGTCGATTTTTGGGAAGTGGTGCCAATCGAGAGATCTCGCCGAGCCCTTTTCGGCGGTGTGCTTGCGAGCTTTTTTTTCGCACGGGAAGCATTTTTAGTAGTCGGAAACGTGAATTAGTCGACTAGGCTTGGTGCACCAATACCTCTTGAGGTAGATCTCAACGACAGACCCGCTGGAGTGCCGGCACCCTACTCGTGCATATATGCCGCGCAGCAAGCCCGCTCCGGTTAAACGCCAGCGCGTCGAGCCGAGCGGCGACGCGGCGCTCTTTGCCGCGGCGCAGCGCGTGGTCGAGCAGCTCGAGGCGGAGGAGGTGGAGGCGTGGACGGCGTGCGCCGAGACCGCCTCGCGCCACGTTGACTTTGGCGCGGTCCCTGCCGCGGCGTTCGGGCTCGCCAAGGCGGTCGTGCCGGCGGAGGACCACGAGATCTTTGTGAGGCTGCACGACACAATCGTGGAGCGGCACCGCAAGACGATGGCCGGGTGGGGGGGCGTCGACGACAGCTCGGGGCGGCAGCGGTGCTACGGCTACTTTCGGAACCCCGCCGCCGAGGCGCTGCACGCTCGCTCGCACAGCATGCGCGAGCTCGCCGGCGGCCGTGCAGCGGAGGACCGCGAGGCCAACCGGCGCGCCTCCTCCCTGCTCGAGCCGGACGACCTGCCCGAGGGGCTCGACGCGGCGCTCGACCGGCTCTGCGCGTGCCTCGCGCCTCAGATCGCGGCCGCGTCGCGGTCCGCGCTGTCGCCGGCGCGGCTGGTTGCGGCGCAGCCGAACTTGCACAACGGGCGGCGCTACCTGCGGCCGCACCTCGATGAGCCGCTGCACGACGGCTTTGGCGTCGTCATCGTCACCGTGGCGGTGCTGCTTCCTAGACACTTCCTAGACACTTCCTAGACACTTCCTAGGCGTCGTCATCGTGACCGTGGCGGTGCGAGGGTCCGCGACGGTGCTGCTTCAGACCGACGGCGCCGCGCGGCAGCGGCTGTGCTTTCGGCTCGAGAGCGGCGGCCGCGAGGCGTACGCGCTGTCGGGCGCGGCGCGCGACGCGTGCTTGCACGGCGTGCTGGCGGACGAGGGCGGCGAGCCACGTTGCTCGCTCAACTTGCGGTTCGGGCTGCACAGCCCCGGCATGGAGGGCGAGTTCCCGGCGGGGCGGGTCGGGTACGGCGGCGCGGGAGAGGCGCTAGGAGAGGCGAAGTAGGGCCCCCGCGGCGCCCGCGCACGTGCGAGGCTAAAGAACCCACCTTTGAGGGCGCAAAAGGCTGCTCAATCCGGGATCGGCTGGCTTGGCCCGTCATTCTTACGGGGTGTGGACCCTGAGTTGACCAGGGCGGGTTGTGCGCTGGGCCCTCCTGCTCGGCTCCAGCCAGTAGACAAGTCTTGTCATCAACAGAGTAGATGGATCTGACCTCGGGGCCGATGTGACCAAGCGCTGGTAGCGTGGTTTTACCTCACACCCATGGTCTCACAGTGTGCCGGCAGTCGCCGAGCAGTGTCGCTCACACAAGCCGCAGCACAAGTGACTGAGGGCCAGTGAGGGCGAGCCCATCGCTGTGACAGCTGTGGCAGCCGCACAGTGGGCTGTGTCAGCTGTGCAGAGTGTGTGAGCAGCAGAGGAGCTGCTCTCCAGGCTTCTGTCGCAAAGAGCTGCATGCCACCGAAAGCGCTGTCGAGGTTCGCCGAGCGCGGCGAAATCGGGGGACACCGTCACCGACGAGCGCGATGGAGTATTCACTCCGGACAAAGACGGCGACACGCACACGAGCTGCGGCCGTGTCGCCGTCATAGCGGCGAGGCGCGGGACCGTCTGTGGCGAGGTGGGTCGCGTCCCCCGATTTCCTGAACTCACGGTCCGCTCCCTCTACGTAGCTGCGGTTACGGTGATAAGATACACACATTCACAGACACCTTTTGTTATCGGCGAGGTGTGTCAGCTTTCACACCGTCCCTGCGTCTCGCCCGACGCCCCCCTCAACAAGCGTCCCACACAGCTTTTATCGTTCTATGTGCTGCTGCTGGAGCCAGCGTGATACAACAACTCCTGTGCGCCCATGGGCCGACGCGCCGCCACTGCTCCTCGTGTCCCGCCATGCGTCCCGCGCTCCCCCTTCCGCGCAAATCACCTGCAAATCACGCCCTCGATCAATCTCACCGCCCCGGCGCCCACGCCTCGACCAGCTTGGGCAGCAGCTGGTTCGATAGGTCCTCTCCGTGGCCGAGGCCGCCGTGGCCGCCCGTGCCCCACGTAAACACGGCGCCGCCAGCGCGCAGCGGTGAGGGCGAGGCTGTGGTTGGCTCCAGCCGAGACAGCGACGACGCGCTGGCCAGCCATCAGTTCGTGAGTTCTGTGTCCCCGTCCCTGTGCTCCACCTTCTTCTTGAGCACTTGAGCACTGGATAGGGTCGGTTCCGCATGGTACGGGACCCCTCGATCGTCTCGCCCTCCCTCACTGGTGTGTTCATTGGGGGGGGTCATAACAAACACGGTACAGGATCGAGGTGCACGCTGCCGAGGCAGTATCGTCCCCCCTCTCCCCGACGGCGATGGCGGTGTGACCGATCGAGCTACAAGAGGAGCTTGTTCAGCAGGATCCGGGATAGTCTGATGCACTACCTCACTGGGCCTGAGATCACCGAGACAACACCCGTCACCGTCTCGGATTCATGTGGGATCGAACCACTCCGGGATGGGCTTCTTCTCCCGTGTCAGTCCCTGAGAACCCCATTATGTAGCGCCACCTCGTGAGCTGTCCTGTGAGCTGCGTGCTGTGTGTCCAGCAGTCCGGACCCGGTGCTAAGGCCGGTGACAGTGTGCCTCGTGTCGGCTCCCGAGCCAATCGTGTGCAGCGTGTGTGCGT